ATGCGGGGCTCGATCCCAGGACTCTGGGATCATGACCTGAGCCGAAGGCAGACGCTTAACAACTGAGCCACCCAGGTGCCCCTCGAATAAATCTTTTAAAAAAATAAAAATATAAAATAATCAGAACAGCCTTTGCCTCTGGGTGTGGGAATACTGATTAGAATAACAGTGAGGAAACTTTCTGTGTCGTGATGGGAATATGGATCTGGATCAGTCAGAGTTCTCCAGAGAAACAGAACCACTAGGATATATTATGTATGTGGATATATGTGTAGGTAGGTTGGTTGATTGCTTTTTAAGGAATTGGCTTATGCAGTTGGGGCTGGCATGTCTGCATTTTGTGAGGTAGGCCAGCAGGCTAGAAACTCAAGCAAAAAATAGATGTTGCAGATGTGGGAATTCCTTCTCTAGTATAGCAAGACAGTTCTGGCATTTGAATTCATTTAGTGTAGGCTACCTTTTAGTGTGTGTTTCAGCCAACCAACCAAATAGACTGTTAGAGCCTTATTTGACCCTGGAGCTGCAACACTGAATCCAGAATCTCTGCTTAATGGACTTATATCAATACATTCAGCCTTATCCAACTTCATGTTCCTTCCATCATTATCCTGCAGTGTTCATATACATTCCCACACATATTCCTAGATTTTTGTCTGTGTAAATAGGAAAAATCACATCGGTTTTTGTTTTGTTTTGTTTTGTTTGTTTGGATTATAGTGCACGTCCTGGTGGGTCACACTTTATACCTAACCTTTTAGGGCCTGCTGAGAGTAGAATCTGATCATAGGTCTAGAACCATCTGCTAAGGCAGCTACCTCATGGGAGGTTCCTGTAGGTTCTCAGTCAAAATAGAGTGAATCTCCTTAGCTGGGGGGTAGAAGGGCTGCTTCTACTGGCAAAGACTCAACCAAATTTAGGGCTCAATGTTCCCAGCTTTATTGGGATCAGTACATCCATTTGTCAAAATTGTACAGCTCAGATTTCTGTACTTCAGTATATATAAAATTTACATGAAAAAAAAACTTAACTCTTTAGTAATACTGTGGTGGGTTGGAATATAGGTACATTTATAGATGACACAAATATAACAGTGTTGCTAATGCCTAAACCTGGAGATGGATATGAAGGTGTTCATTATTCAATTATATTGTTATTTTAACCATTCTTATTAGGGGACATTTAGAGTGTGTCATAATTATAAAAAAAACTGAATGTTTTTATATATTCAGCTTTTTTTTATTTCAAGTATTTTCTTAGGATGGAATCTTAGAGCAGAATTATAAGCTCAAATTTTATGAGTATCATTATTAAGGCCCTTCATTTAATTGGCTATACTAATTTGCACGGCCATCAACAGTGTAGAAAATCCATATCATATACTATGCCAGCTTAATATTTTCTCATTTTTCCCCATGACGGCTAAAGAAATTATTATTCTAAGGACACCTAGAAACTACATGTTACTAGTAGCCGAAGTATCTACTAGTTTATCTCATGACATCTGCTTTACCTACAGGAAGTGGATGCCTTTGTTTTGGTTTGTTGTTTGTTTGTTTATGGTAAAAAAAAAAAAAAAAAGGAATGGACCAAGGGTGAGCTTGATCTGGCCCTCCCATTGCACTCATGGCTGGGTTGAGTGTATCTGCTAGCCTCACCTTATGTATAGCTGCTGATCATTTGAGAGATAGACTATTGCTGCCCCAGCTTGAAGAGTTATTGCTCTTCTTGTTGAGTGTTGAGGGCACAGTTAAGGTCCTGTCAGTACTGATATACTGGTACTGATGTAGTAATCAACAATGCCCCATCATCAGCACCTTGGAGTTTTCCTAATCAAATTTAGAAGCAAACTTCCTGCAATATCAGATTATTCCAAATGTGAGTTATTTGGTTTTCCTGTCCCCAGGTTCACAGCACCTCAGGCAGAACTCTATGAAGCTGTTCTAGAGATACAGAGAGACTGTCTGACCCTCTGCTCCCCTGGGACAAGCTTGGAGAACATCTACAGCTTGATGCTCACACTGATCGCACAGAAGCTAAAGGAGTTGGGGATCGTGAAGAACATTAAGGGAAATAATGCCTTCAAGGTACTGCCCCTCTTTTGACCCCGGCTCTCAAAAACACCTGATGTGCTGCTGGGTTTTTATCCTATGGAAAACTAATTAGATTTAGAAATGGTCTTTGTGATCTTCATCTATAAGAGGGAGATAGAGTGAACATGGATTAAAACAAAAGGAGTCAGTACTTACTTCTCCCAGAAGATGGCAGCACATTCTAGTTTGTTGCATCCTGTATGAGTAGCTCAATCTGCAGAAAATGAAGTCTGGTGCCGACAGGGTGGAAATGGACACAAAAAAAGGAGAAGAGGTTAACTCTCAATCCCTTTGTGGCGATTTTGAAAAGATAGAAGTCGTGGGGGAGGGTGTTTGTTGCTTCAGTGACATTGGTGAGATGAACAGTATCCCCAAGGGCCATGTCTTTAGTGAATTTCATCTGCATCCAAAATGTAATGATGTTCAGTAAGAATGTAAAACCTTACCTTTAAATTAAGATGCCGGGTGGCCTCGCCAAACAGACCATTAAGGCATCTCATCTCCAAGTTTAGGCTGCCAGGTTTTCTTTTATCAGTAGGAAAGACATTATAAATTCCTCCTGCTGAAGCCAACAAATCTAATTAACGGATAGGAATATCCAACCCGGTAAATGCTTAATAATTACTGTGTTAATTTGATGTTCTATGCCTACTCCACAAGTTGCCATGAGTTCCTCAGGGTCTCCAGAGCCGGCTTTCTGACAAGGACTTATGAACACTGAAAAGAGAACTGTTCTAACATAATCATTCTCCCTCCCCCAAGAAAAGAGGTTTTCATTTGCCGTAGACATTACTGGGGTTACCCAAGTCAGCATGTGTGTAGTATATTAAGTAATGGGAAAGGAAATGTGGATTAGTTCAAAGGCCATCAGTAGAATTGCATTCAAGAGGTAGCAGTTTATCAAGTTTCTTGAGCATTAGCCCGAGGGTAGGTTACACCGCAAAATGGCAGAAACGTGCGGGAAGTATTAACACATATCTCACTGACTTACGCATGTTTAGCTTTCCCCTTAAGGCGTCATTGCGCTAATAACACTGTGGTGATTACCTTTTCCAGGCTGCTCGAAAATACTGCCCTCATCATGTTGGCCATTACCTCGGGATGGATGTCCATGACACTCCAGACATGCCCCGTTCCCTCCCTCTACAGCCTGGTATGGTAATCACGGTGGAGCCAGGTAAGGGCAGGTGCTAGCAGCCTCTGATCCCTTGGGACACATAATAGTAGCAGATAGAAAGGTAAATGTTGCTTATTTTTACCTGAACCAACATAGTTAAATTAGGAGAGACAGGAAAATGGATTTCTTCAGTGTAGATGGGAACTTTATTTTAGATTTTTTTCTTGAGCTTTCTTATCTAACATCACACAATTTGTTTAATTTGACTTCTCCAATAAAAAACAGATGGGGGGGCGCCTGGGTGGCTCAGTCGGTTAAGCGACTGCCTTCGGCTCAGGTCATGATCCTGGAGTCCCGGGATCGAGTCCCGCATTGGGCTCCCTGCTCGGCGGGGAGTCTGCTTCTCCCTCTGACCCTCCTCCGTCTCATGCTCTCTGTCTCTCATTCTCTCTCTCTCAAATAAATAAATAAAATCTTTAAAAAAAAAAAAAACAGATGGGGAATACTTTTTATAAGTAGATATTAAGAAATAAATCTTTTTTTATACCCTGCCTTTGCCAGGGCCAATTTATACTAGTGTCCTGTGCAGTGGTGGGCTGCTCACACCTCTGAGGCCCAGGTGCTTCCCTGCAGAAAGCTAACTCAAACTCACCATGTTTCACTCTGCAAACTGCACTGAACTGTCCACATTATTCTCCTTCGGATCTAAGTCCTTTTTCCTGAGCTTCAGAGAAAGGTGGTGATCTAATGGCTGCCCAGCTTGATGATGCTGGGCAGTGGGCAGAATTCAGCAGAGAGGGCGCCTGGGTGGCTCAGTTGGTTAAGTGACTGCCTTCGGCTCAGGTCATGATCCCACGGTCCTGGAATCAAGTCCCGCTTCGGGCTCCCTGCTCTGCGGGGAGCCTGCTTCTCCCTCTCCCACTCCCCCTGCTTGTGTTCCCTCTCTCGCTGTGTCTCTCTCTGTCAAATAAATAAATAAAATCTTTAAAAAAAAAAAAAAAAGAATTCAGCAGAGAAGTGGTGGTCACAGTGGAATGTAAGGATTGATGTTAAAAGAATAATTTTTAAATACTCTGTTTTTGTTATGAAAATGGATTTCAGCTGTAGATTTCAAGTGTTTTCCTCTCTAAATTATAGAAATTATAGCTGGGACCTGACTTTGTTATACTACCCAGTCCTACATTGCTATCTGTGGCCTTATGTACTATTCATTCCAATCTGGTTGGTGCATGGGTGCTTCCTTAGGCTTTGGCTACATATTCCTTCACTGATCTTTTTTCTTTTTATCACAGGGCAGCATCTGTGAGTATAATGGAGGACGTTTCCAGTTTCTTAAATATGAAAAGACATGTTCTTGTCTGACTTTGTGATTAGAAAGGGTACCTTGGGCTCTTAGAATTTTCCAAATGTTCCTTAAAGTCTTCCTATTTCTTATTCTGCATTGTATGCATCAGTTATATTTATGGCTTCTTTGAGTATCTCTGCAGCTTGTTGTTCAGGCTAAGTGGGTTTTTTTCAATATATTTTAAAATACTTTATATCCCTATTTTAGCAGTTCCCTTTTCCCAAGGGATGATTAGGCAGAGAAAGAATGCATTTATATAATCTACTGGTTCCCAGCATATGTTGATGTACTCATAAGTAACTTTAGTGGCCTGCTTAAACCACCAGAATATGACAGAATCATGATAGAGCCTGTAGTCTGGTATACAAAACAACTACAGCAATAGTTCTAGCAGCCAACATTTATTGACAATTATGTGCCACACACTTTTACGTATATGTACTATCCCATTTAATATCCACAGTTCTGGGTAGATACTCTTAGGATCACAGTTTTACAGATCATTTGTAGCACAGAGAGGTTAGCTTGCTTGTCCCAAATCATCCAGTTACTGCCACTTAGGAACAGCACATTCTTTTTTCTACTTTTCAGGCATTTATATTCCAGAGGATGACAGAGATGCCCCAGAGAAGTTTCGTGGTCTTGGTGTACGAATTGAAGATGATGTAGTGGTGACTCAGGATTTACCTCTCATCCTTTCTGCAGATTGCCCCAAAGAGATGAATGACATCGAACAGATATGCAACAGGGCCTCTTGACCCTCTTTGCAGCCCACATGCCTCTCAGGTTTAGAAGCGGTATACGTCTGCATCTGTGCATGTTTGCCGACTGAGCGTCTCTGCGTGTATGTTTCTACACATGTTCCATTTGGGAGTGTGGCAACTGTATAGAATGTATGAAATTGCGTATGTGATATTTAAGTAGCTAAAAATCTGGAAAATTGAATTTTTGAACAGTATGTTACTACAACTTTAGTAACATTAACTCTGTACAATTAATGACCAAGGCAGGTTTAATTTTTAAATGTACAGAAAAATCTTGATTATATGTGTCCATGCATTCCAGTTAACACAATGAAACATACAGAAAATATTCTCCTTCTCTCCAACTTTTTCCCTTTCTACACTTTTGCTGAGATCTACCTAATATCATAAGCTGTTCATGATGCTTATATTTTGAGCTAACCACCAATGTTTCTGCCTATACTAAAAGCCACCTGTCAGTGATTGTGGGTGGCCAATACATATCTTCCGTAACTCCTATCCATCTCTTCCAGATCCTATATATCTGCTGGAACCATATGAGCCCTTGTGGGCACTGGGGTCCTGCAATCCCACCATTCAGCTCCAATCCAGATTCTAGCAACACTAACTACTAAACAAAACAGTTTTGTTTTTTTTTTATTCTTACGTTAATCCCATACATCACATCATTAGTTTTAGATGAAGTGTTCCATGATTCATTGTTTGTGCATAACACCCAGTGCTCCATGCAGAATGTGCCCTCCTCAATACCCATCACCAGGCTAACCCATCCTCCCACCCCCCTCCCCTCTAGAACCCTCAGTTTGTTTTTCAGAGTCCACAGTCTTTCATGGTTCATCTACCCCTCCGATTTCCCCCGCTTCATTCTTCCCCTCCTGCCTAAACAAAACAGTTTTGAGTTTTTCTTGCTATTTGGTTGCTTGTGGCCTGCAAAGTGTTTAGCGCTTGATGAAGGAAGAAATGGAAGAGAAAGAAAAGCATATATGTATCTGCTACATATCTACACCTCTGTCCATCTGTTCTCAATCTGAAGAAGATTCCTTTTCCCAGGTATCCATGCTTTCTTTGTAGATTCTTAGTGCACTGACCCACAGAGCACACCCTTGAAGCTGCTGCCCTGGCCAAGGGTAGATCCTCTCCTTACCCTGCTGACGTCAGAGGGACGGCACCCAGGTTTCAGAGAGATGCTCCTGTTATCATTCTACAGTGTGTCTAGTGCAATATATGGAACTCACCCAGTACCTGTAAACATCCTATGATCCTTTTATTTCTCTGATATTAGCACTGGAAGGGCAGTAGTAAGGAGTCATATTTCCCCTCAACACAGCATTGGCTGCATTCATACAAGAACTCACTTTGCAGAGTGAACGGGGCTAGATTATTGCACATGGTTTATTCAGGAGCTTCTGTCATAGAACTACTGTGCTCGCCTCCTGTAAACCTGGATATGGGCCCAAGATGTACAAAACATGCTGCTTGTTAGAGCATAAATCCGAGGGATTTTAAGAAAGAAACGAGCTAGGGGATTAACACTCCCTGCAGTGCTAGAGGTTTGCCCATCTTATCAGGAAAACCCAAGGTACAGAGCCAAAAGCAGACAAGCAGCAACTTCATCAGGAGACAAAGATAATGGTATAGAGCAGAGTGATACACACGCTGTCCTGCCAGTACTCGCCCTTGAGTGCTCTGGCTTTGCTCAGCAGCTGTGGGAATGGGTGGCCACACAGCTGGAGTCTTGTCCCTGGGCCTGTCCTCCCCACCTCCCTCCAACTTCTCAGTCCCATGCTACTTTCTAAAAGAAGGGGACTGAAAATAAATCCATAACTCTAGCTTCTCACCCTCTGGGCTCCTGTGGTCCCAACAACCCTTTCCTTGGATTGAGTGTCCTTAGTTCATCTACAGTCCTGGAAAAGGATTTCCTTTTCTTCCTGTAAATCATTTTCTGTGGTCTTCAACTTTCTAGCTAAAAGTCTAGGTGGCTTTTATGTATAGCAGCACACCTGGACACAAAACAGACTTCTGCTTAGATTCTAGTCAAGTTCTGCAGATAGGAGTCCTGCTTAGAATGGCTGTGGCAGAATTCTTCTGGTGACTTTTAATCCCCGAGCCCAGTACATTGTCCTTTGAGTCCCGGATTAACCTCAGTAGCTAAGCATTGCCTCAGACTATCAGAACCATCAAGAGATGGATGGCATAGTGTTTCAGGGCTGTCTGACATATTCAGGATTTGTTGAGCAGATAGCGGTGCACAGGGCAGAAATCTCATTCGTTCTTAGCCATACCACAGACAAGCCCCGCATTTCCTCCATGTCTAAGTATAATACTTTATATATGCACCAGGCTCTCCTAATGGAAACCTTAATCTTCAGAAGTCCTTCAAATGTTACACTGGGATTTTTCTCCCTCAGGTGGAGAGAGATGGTTAGGTCATTAATGATGCCATGTAAATGAAGGAAGCATAGCTTGATAGCCTCTGCTGCTTACTTTTGTGTGTTTATCTCAGAAATTTGTGTTTTTCCTCATAATCAGGAAACAGACTGTTGTGTTTTTTATTTGAAATGCAGTAGTAGCAATTGCTGGAGTAGAAACCCCTCTCTTCCCACAGCCATAATATCCAAGCCCGGAAGGTACTTCTCATGGTGAATGAAAGTTCTCTCTGGGTCTTCTTTCAAAACACCTTATTTTTTCACTATCTTTGTAAGGTCAGAAAGGGCAAACTCCTACCATAGACATTATATCTTAATTTGAGAATAAGATCCATAAAATAAGAAAATCCCATGAAGTTTAAGAAAATCCCATGAAGACATTGTAACTCATTAAAATAGAAAAATTGGACTGTGTTATATTTTTCAAAGCTGACATAACCAACATCCTCTTTAGCTTTCTTAATAATAGAAAGATTACAGATCTGATGCAGGAGTGCAGCCTCCTCCTGTGTCTGTGTCAGAGATCACAAGGACAGCACAGGGACTGCCCTGCCAGGCCAGCTGTGACCTCAGAGTCCTTTGTAACACTGTGTTTCCATTAACTGCTACCAATAAGACAAAATCGGGATTTGAGTTAGACCCTGTCCGCCATCCCTCAGCTGGCATATGAGCAATAATAGAGCTCATTTGTGTGTGAATGTGTGTTAGAAACCACGTGAGGGCCCAGGATGGGGGCAGCATAAAGGACCCTGCTTGCAAGAGATTTTTATGGTGTGGTTAATTTTTTTAAATTTTAGTTTCCCGAGGTGGGATCTGTAACCTAAAACTTAACCTGATAGTATTAAGTTTTAATCCTGGGAAAATATAATTTAAGCCGAAGTGTTTAATGTTCCTAATATAATGAGAAGGTGATACATCATTAAATGCTAACATTTAATTAGAGCAGAAGCCCATTGTCACAAAGTACATGGGTCTTCCTGTCTGCTCTTCTTACTTCTGCTTGTGTGTCACTGAGGAACTTGGGGCTCAGATCCCCACTGAAATCCAGGCCTCCTGGGGTATGCTTCATGAGGATCTGAGAGAACTGCAATCTTTGTTAGCATTTATTAATGCTTTGTATGACTTTTGTGCAATTATATAAGTTCAGTTTGGACAAAATGCTGTTACTTTTTAAGGCTCTAGCCACTGAAAATAGGTATGTCATTCCCCAACAAGGGAAAAGCATTTATTACTATCATTTTAAAAATAAACTATAAAACAATAGAAAAGTATGTGGTGTGTGTGTGTTATTTTCAAATCTAGACTTTATAGCTTTAAATGTGAGAACATTTTGTTCTACAAAATATTTTTTATAGAGGGGCACCTGCCATGTGACCCTTGGTCTCGGGGTTATGAATTTGAGCCCCATAGGGGTAGAGATTACTTCAATAAATAAATATTTAAAAATATGTATTTTATTTTTTTAAAGATTTATTTATTTATTTATTTGAGAGAGAGAGAATGAGAGACAGAGAGCATGAGAGGGAGGAGGGTCAGAGGGAGAAGCAGACTCCCTGCCGAGCAGGGAGCCCGATGCGGGACTCGATCCCAGGACTCCAGGAGCATGACCTGAGCCGAAGGCAGCCGCTTAACCAACTGAGCCACCCAGGCGCCCTTTAAAAATATGTATTTTAAAAATATATATTTTAGGCGCACCTGGATGATTCGGTTAAGCGTCTGCCTTGGGCTCAGCTCATAATCTAAGGTCCTGGGAATCGAGTCCTACATTGGGCTCTCTGCTCAGCGGGGAGTCTGCTTCTCCTCACTCTCCCTCTATGCTCTCCCTCTCTCTCTATCAAATAAATAAATGAAATCTTTAAAAAAATAAAATATATATTTTATACAGAGTATTAACTGCTGTCACAAAATCATGATTCAAACTTAAGATGATCTTATCAGTCATAGAGGGGGAAAAAATGAATGAATTAGATCTGGCCCATTAAAAGATTGGCTCAGGGGGGCGCCTGGGTGGCTCAGTTGGTTAAGCGACTGCCTTCGGCTCAGGTCATGATCCTAGAGTCCCGGGATCGAGTCCTGCATCGGGCTCCCTGCTCAGCAGGGAATCTGCTTCTCCCTCTGACCCTCCTCCCTCTCATGCTCTCTGTCTTTCATTCTCTCTCTCTCAAATAAATAAATAAAATCTTTAAAAAAAAAAAAAAAAAGATTGGCTCAGGGGGACCTGGATGGATCAGTCGTTAAGCATCTGCCTTCGGCTCAGGTCATGATCCCAGGGTCATGGGATTGGGCCCTGCATCGGGCTCCCTGCTCAGCAGGGAATCTGCTTCTCCCTCTGACCCTCCTCCCTCTCATGCTCTCTGTCTTTCATTCTCTCTCTCTCAAATAAATAAATAAAATCTTTAAAAAAAAAAAAAAAAAAGATTGGCTCAGGGGGACCTGGATGGATCAGTCGTTAAGCATCTGCCTTCGGCTCAGGTCATGATCCCAGGGTCATGGGATTGGGCCCTGCATCGGGCTCCCTGCTCAGCGAGAAGCCTGCTTCTCCCTCTCCCACTCCCCCTGCTTGTGTTCCCTCTCTCACTATGTCTCTGTCAAATAAATAAATAAAATCTTTTAAAAAAATAAAAATAAAAATAAAAAAATAAAAGATTGGCTCAAGGGTCTAATGTATAACATGGTGACTATAGTTGATAATACTCTCTTGTATGACAGAAATTTGCTAAGAGTAGAACTTAAATGTTCTCACCAAAAAAAAGCAGGGGGAGATAAATATGTGAGTTGATGTGTTAATTAAATAGAAGATGGGACACCCTTTCACAATGTATCTGTATATCAAATCATCATGATGTACATTTTAAGTATCTTACATTTTGGTTAATTACACCTCAAGAAAGCTAGGGGGAGGGGCACCTGGATGGCTCAATCGGTTAACTGTCTACTTCGGTTAAGTGTCTGACTTCGGCTCAGGTCATGATCTGAGTCCTGGGATTGAGCCCCACATGGGGCTCCCGGCTGAGCGGGAAATCTGCTTGTCCCTCTTCGTCTGCCCTTTCCTCCGCTCGTGTTCTCTCTCCTAAATAATAAATAAATTAAATAAATAAATAAAATCTTTAAAAAAAGCAAGCAAGCTAGGGGGAGAAGGTTGACTCCACAAAACTGACCCACAGGTCTCCAGACAGCCCCTGTACCACTCAAGACTGTGAACTTCGGCCATGAACATTTTATGAAGGATGAATTTTGTAGGGAAATTATAAATTTGTGAACTTTCTCAGTGAGCCATATACACAGCCATGAGTGTGGCCATTTCTTCCTAGTAGGAATCCTCGTTAAAATCAGGCTTTCTGGGGCACCTGGCTGGCTCAGTTGGTAGAGCATGTGACTCTTGATCTCAGGGTTGTAAGTTCGAGCCCCATGTTGGGTGTTGAGATTACTTAAAAATTAAATCTTTTGTGGCGCCTGGGTGGCTCAGTCATTAAGCTTCTGCCTTCGGCTCAGGTCATGATCA